TTCATTGTTTCCAGTTTATACTGGAGTTAAATAGATAGGTCATGTGGTAATTCTATTTTTAATGTTTTTTTTTTCCAAGGAGCCACTTATACTATTTTACACAGTAGTGTGCCATTTGCATCCTATCAACAGTATGCAAGGGTTTCCATTTTTCCACATTCTCATAGGGATTAGCGATACTGAGCATGGTCTTCTGTATTTATGTGTATATTTCTAGAAAAATACCAGTTCAAGTCCTCTGACAATTTTTTATTGGATTATTTGAAGATCTCTCTCTCTCTCTCTCTCTCTCTCTCTCTCTCTCTCTCTCTTTCTCTCTCTCTGTGTGTGTGTGTGTGTGTGTGTGTGTGTGTGTGTGTGTGTGTGTTGGTTTGAAAATGAATGGCCCCTATAGGCTCATAGATTTGAATGCTTGGCTGTTAGGAGTGGTGCTACTTGACAGAGATTAGGAGGTGTGTCCTTGTTGGAGTAGGTGTGGATCAGTTTTTAATTCTCAATGCTGTAAAAACAAAAATCAGTCAACTAATAAATAAAATTGCATCCTGGGGAATTCAGTTAAGAGAGGGGAAATGGGCCAATCAGAGACTAAGCAAAGATATGGTGTCCAGAGAAGATGGAGGGTAATTCTGGCTCAACAATTCAGGGGCTTTGAAGTTGGGGTCATGCCCCAAAGTTGTTCTGCTCAGAGATAGGCGTGGAGTCTTCATACATCTGCTCATCTATCACAAATTGAGTGATATGCCTCAGGTATTCTCTTTTTCATAGTCTCAAGCAAAGCATCGCTGATGCTCAAGGTTTGTCTACCTTCTGACAAAGAGATGCAGAAACTGTCTGTTGGGAGTGAAAGCACACATGTAAAAAAATCTCAAGAAATTCCAGGCAACATGCACAGGGCCCTGATGTCGCATACTACACTTCCATGTATGCCCACATGCAATCTCACATGTGCAGTCCTCAAGACAATGAGAAGTGTCATTTCTAACTGACGTGTGTTTCTGGCTAAGGGCCTGCTTGTTATGTGACCTGGTGAAACTAGTGGGACAGCCAGAGGCATGAAGATAGCCACACAGGCTACCGAGACTCACGGGCATTGCTGATATGCCAGGTGACAGCTACTTCTTTTTTTTTTTTTTTTGATTGCTTAGCAATATGAAAAAAAGACTTTGTGATTTAATAACCAAAGATAATTTTTAAGAAAGTGGACTTACTGTGACTCTGTGCCTAGCTCCTGATGCTGTTAATGTCTGGGTGGTTTTTCTAGGCCAGGCTGGCTTAGGTGACCTCTAATAGACCCTTGCTTATATATGTCCATGAGGTGTGTGATGACCAGGTAGGAGATGATGGCTTTGTCCACAAGTTTGGCAGTCAGGCAGGCTGTTTTTCTTCAAGCGTCTTGTGGTCCAGCAGGACATCTGAAGTTTATTTAGTTGCAGGCACAGCAGGAGGTGAGTGAGGACCTCCTTTGCAGTCTCTGCTTGTGCTACTTCTGAGGTGCCCATTGGCCAAAGAAGTCACACAACCACAGAGGAATGTCTGGAGGCACTAACAGGAGGGCAGAAGTGAGGGCAGGGAGAAGTTAGGGTCATTTGCATTTCTCTCAGTCATATTTTGTGGGTGCTTATATCTTGTGTGTGCAGTTTCTCAGACATATTGCTCCGTCTTCAAAGCAACAGAAAAAGGGAAATGCCTATGTTCTCTTGCATGAAAGCTATTTCTTTGAAGCTTTAAAGTATGCATGATATTAAAAAATTGTAAAACAAGTTGCCAGAATTTGAGATATGAATGAAGATGAATGTATATGTTAAAAAGGAGACTAAAAAATGGTTTTGGACATTCCAGTCTTTCTAGATGGTTGTTTATATATTTCTATAAATGCATAGTTAGCTGAGTGACTCTACTGCCTTTTTAGATACCTCTCCATGTGGTGTGTGCATGTGTATTCGTGTGTGTGTGTGTTCATGTGTGTGTGTTCGTGTGTGTGTGTGTGTGTGTGTGTGTGTGTGTGTGTGTGTGTGTTAATAATAAAGTCCTGGCCAGGCAGTGGTAGCACATGCCTTTAATCCCAGCACTCCAGAGGCAGAGGCAGTTGGATCTCTGAGTTTGAGGACAGCCTGGTATAGCTGAAGTTTTCCTGTGTCCCACCTGGTCTGCAGCCACTCAGACCCAAGTAAACCCACAGAGGCTTATATTAATTAAAACTGCTGGGCCATTAGCTCAGGCCTACCACTGACTAGCTCCTACATTTAAACTCAGCCCATTTCTGTTAATCTATATGTTGCCACGTGTTCCATGGCTTTACCTGTGTGTCATTACATGCTGCTCCCTGGACAGCGGGCTGGCGTCTACTGACTCAGCCTTCCTCTTCCCAGAATTCTCCTTGTCTGCTTATCCAGCCTATACTTCCTGCCTGGCTACTGGCCAATCAGCATTTTATTTATCAACCAATCAGAGCAACATATTCACAGCATCCAGAGTGATGTCACCCATCAGCCTGGACTATAAAGTAAGTTCTAGGACAGCCTGGGCTGTTACACAGAGAAACCCTATCTCTGTTTCAAAAAATAAAAAACAAACAAAAACCCTGCTCCCCTACAAAAAAGGAATTAAGCCCTGACTTCATGGGAGTTTGCTTTATCACTTTCCTATTGAGTGCTCATGATCCCTGCTCAGTATTTCCCTTCATTTCCAACTTTGCCCATATTTCATTTGACATTTGAATTCAGTTATAGGATTAACTGGCTTTGTGATTATAATCTTTTCGAATCTTTCTCTATTTAAAAAATGAGTAACATTTGGATTATGACCACATCAGCACTCTTAGAGGCCTCCATTCCTTTCAGGAGGGAGGGGAGTATCTCAGGCATTTCTCTTCTCTATACCTTGACTGTGCTTGCCTTAGCACATACAAAGCCCTGGATTCCATTCCCTGTGCATAAACATATGAAAAGCAATATCTGACATGTCTTGGCAAATGTGCGACAGTAATGTTCAATAATGGAGAAACCTCAAGAAGTTCCTGGTGATGCCAAGTACAGGCCCCGATTAGTAACCATTAAGCCCCCCAGCTCCCTGATTGAGCACAAATTTTTTCTCAATTGAAGTATCTACAGGACATAGCAATGTTCTAATGCTTCCTCCATTCTGGGAGTTTCTGCTTACATGCTAAATGTGTCTAACATGCATTTCTTAAATTTTTTTTGTTGTTGTTTTTTTGTTTTTTGAGACAGGGTTTCTCTGTGTAGCTTTGGAGCCTTTCCTGGAACTCACTCTGTAGCCCAGGCTGGCCTTGAACTCATGGATATCTGCCTGCCTCTGCCTCCCGAGTGCTGGGATTAAAGGCGAGCACCACCACTGCCCAGCCTAAAATGCATTTCTTTTTTTTTTTTTTTTTTCAAGACAGGGTTTCTCTGTGTAGCTTTGTGCCTTTCCTGGAACTCTCTTTGGAGACCAGGCTGGCCTTGAACTCATAGAGATCCGTCTGGCTCTGCCTCCCGAGTGCTGGGATTAAAGGCGTGCGCCACCACCGCCCAGCCTAAAATGCATTTCTCTTAAATGGGACTTCTCCCCAAAAACAACCTTCACAATCTCTCTCTTCCATTTTCTTCATGTTGAGCAGATTCACTGACTGGCTGCAGAGTCTGAATCCAGAAACTAATGGCATGCTGATGGTACCTGTACTCAGCCTTGGATTCAAAGTGTGCACCAGAATTCATACTGCCTGCCAGGTCAACCTCAGCAGTTAGGATCAGAAGCCAGAGTGGACCCAGGGCACCTGCTGAGTGACATGGTCAACTGGCGACAAGATGGCTCAATCCACAACCATAGCAGGCTTCTGCCTGGCTCTGGGAGGGCGGCACATGGCAGAAATCCTGCCTCTACTGCTAAAGGACTAGCAAGGAATCAGGGAAAGGCCTCGAAGCCAAGGCCAGCCGGGCAAATGCCGACTCTACGGCTAGCAACTACCCTCACAGAAAGCAGGCAGTGAGCTCGAAACTGCAGCCTGTGACAGACAGCTCCTTATTTGTAAGTAGTTAATGTTTCTTAGCAAGCACTTCTAAAGGAAATTGGTATGTAATGATGGCACTCACTGGAAAACAGGCCGATTAGAAAATGCACTAACTTATCTAGTATTCATTTGAAAAGTAAATGGATGCGCGGCAAGGTGAGAGTTCACTACAATTCAAATATTTTCCCTTAACAGGCTGCAGCACTCCTGCCTTAATTCAAGCAGAAACACAAGTATGAATAATCAAACTAGATGACGCTCATCAGGAACCTTTGTGCCTTGCACCATTTCAAATGGTCATTGAAGCTTAATGGCAAAAAATTGACATTCTTCCTTTAATTTGTATTCTGTTCCTTCCTTCCGAGTGATGTGATTGTGGCTTGCTGTTGCCCGCTGAATTATTTTGATGCAAATACTGTGTTGTGTGTGCCTGAGTCCAATTTCCTGGCTTTGGCTGGCAAGAGAAGGGACTGCGAAAATAGTTGAAAATCAGGGTTATTTAAAGAGTTTATAACTGCTGCTCCTCATAACTGAAACAATGCAGTTGATGAGCCCCCTGCTTGGAGACACTTTGATGGCTGTAAGTTAATAGAGCCCCACAAAGGAAAATAGAATCAACAAGAAAATCACTGTTTACTCGTCCCTTTTTCTCTCCCTTGAATGTTAGATTTTATTCTGATGGGCAACTACAAAAGAAATGAGAGAGAGAGAGAGAGAGAGAGAGAGAGAGAGAGAGAGAGAGAGAGAGTTGAAATTCAAGTGAAACTCCCTTTCCTGTGACATACTCGCCCGGGAAAGAATGCTTTATTGAGATACAGGGGGTTGCCGCCAAAGACTGCAAACATTGAGCCCCAAGGGTGATCCTTGAATGTAATGTATGCACAAACTAATTTATGATACTGTGACTAATTTCCATTTCTTGTGCTTAGAGTTGCCTAGCTAATTACAGAGATGTTTTCTTAACTTTAGTAATTACGTTCTATGCTTTCGACAGGCAACGGAGCAAATGAGCAAGGGCAGATTGCGCAGTACTTGGAGACAAGCGCATCCAGGCATCCAGGCGAGAGCAGGACGTGTGTGCGGTGTGCTTGCAGGGCCAGCATCCTTGATCAGAAGCCTCGCCAGCTTTGACCAGCACCCGCAGGCTGCATCGGAAGCATCTGGAGACATATTTGATGGAACACCCCATAATTAGACCGGCTGGCTTAATTAGGAGAAGTTTGTGGGTAGAGGGTTGCTGAGGGGCTGTGCTGGGATCTGAAGGTTTACTGCCTCCTCCCAGGAGGCCTGGGACACAAAGCTCCACCCGCTGAGTGTGCATGTGTTGGTGTCTGAAGATCCAAGACAGCTCTGTAGCATCTGTGAACCCAAGGCAGGGGACCAGGGGACCGGCCCCTGCAACAAAAACAACAGCCGTCACATTCATTCCCTCACCCCTTAGATATAACAAGACAAACAGGAGGAACACTCAGATACTTAGATCACTGTGTGCAAGCCACTCTGGAAGGTATGTTTTGAAACTGGCTTCCAGAGGCTAGCGGCAGGAGGATATGGACCGTGATGTTCATCTTACTCTTGGGAATTCCTCCTGTAGCAGAAAAATGCATCATCCTAAGGGCTCCTTAGGAATCAAGGCCTTAATTGCCCAGCCCTACCAGTCAAAGCTTTCCAACCATCTTAGAAACACCAGACACTGCCCACGGAATCAGCTCCCAGCAACGCAGACGATAGAGCAGGGCTGGTGGTACAATGCACATCTGGGAGACATCTGGGCATAATTTTAAAGCAAATGCAGACCAAGTCGTTGCAAGCCTCAGGACTCTAGGTGCTGTGGGTTAAACATGCACAGGAGGATGAGGGAAGAACAGGATGGAACCCATCCATGGTAGGGGAATACAGTGGCCATAAGAGAGACCACAGCTATCAGTGTATTCCAAACTCCATATTCACTGACTCTGTTCACATGCCTAGAAGCGGTTCTTTTTCCACTCACACAAGGAAAGAGTAAGGAAGAAAGAAGAGTGTGTGTGTGTGTGTGTGTGTGTGTGTGTGTATGTGTGTGTGTGTGCATGTGCGTGCGCCTGCATGCAGGCACACATGCAGGAAAGTTCATGCATGGGTGCCTGTGTGTAGGGTTTATTTTCCCCTCAAGTCAGCAATTTTTGCTTTCTGGGGTATGAATGCTATTTATTGCTAGCATGCTATTAGTAAACAGGAACAGACATCAATAATCTGTTCCCACTTTACCAAATTAAAATGATTTCCCTGCTTTATAGAGATGAGGTGATTTGTACATCAGGCCATTCAGGATATGAAAAATGAGATGTGTTCCCTAAATATCTCACTTGATAGAAACATTTGATGAAACACACTTCAAGCCACTCATGGTATCAATTTTAAACTAAGCCATCCAGGTAGTCTGCATGGAAACAGGCCATGCGGAGGACCTAGCTGTTGAATTTTTAATGTGTTGTTGAAAAACATTAATGGGCTTCATTGTGAAATCCTAAAAATGGGTTTCAAATGTATTTGAACAGAATTCTTCACAAAATGATGAAATCTACATTCCAGCTACTTACAACTCAGTCCTTTGTTTCTCTTTTAAATTTCCTTTTATTTTTTTTTTTATAGATGTGCCTATGATATGTGTGTATGTGAGTGCTAACTAGTGTTTTCATACCAGGTTCCGAATATGGAGGTCAGAAGACAGCTTTTGGGAGCTGATTCGAGGTTTGAACTCAGGTTATGAGGCCTGTGCTGCAAGCGCCTTTACTTGCTGAGCCATCTAGTCAGCCCTTAATGCTTTTTACAATCTCGATTTGTGAGTTAAATAATCAGTGTTTCAGAGAACTTTGCCTTTAGCAACTAAAAAGAGGAAGGGTGGAGAAAGCGTGGGGGAAATGCTGGAAATACCTACAGTGTTTCTGGCATCCAAGAGGACCACTGAAGGGTAAAAAATTCTCTTATGAAAGAGAAGACACCAGCAAAGCCAAGCTCCAGGTAAACTCAGCTCCTACAGTGTTTTGCCTCCCAGTCGGCTATGACAGGCGCAGGATGCCTTACTCTTGTGTGTGGGTACCTCAGAGAACAGGCCTCACTGAAAGAAAGACATTTTTTCATCCACTCAAGGGAGGCTGACGTGCTTGCTTGTGTGATGTGGAATCAAGGAATGCATTAAAAATGTAATTATTTTGACACATTCCTTTAAAAAGGTTTTTATTCTTAATGCAAAGTGGTTTAGACGGCCATTGTGAACGAGAAGCCACCGTCCTTGGTCCCTAAACTGTGAGCACCTTGAAGACGCGACACCAGACACAATCAGCAGTCACCAGGAATTTGAAGACAGATTGTGGGGAGGGATCATTTCCGAGCTGGGAGAAGCCGAGATCTTTTCTTCTTATTCCTCCCAGAATTCTCTCTGCACAGCATTTTATTCCATCTTACAAGCCAAGGCTCATTTTTCCTCATAAAAACAGTTTGGAAGGTGACTAATCCACTGTGCTTTCCCCCTAAAAACTTACTGATTCTGCAACACCTCAGTGAGAAATGCCACAGACACCATTCCTCAGAAACAAATTCTGGATGAGAGCATAACACTGGAATCATCACCCTGCTTCCAGACCACTGAGGGCTGTGATGGGTGCCCAAGAATCATGGGTGAAGTTTCTCATTCAGGGGAGAAGTTTGTCTGTTTCTGTCCCATCCCATTTTGCCTTGGTTTGATGCTAAGAGATGGAACCCCTTAACACTTGCCCCCCAATCTCTTCTCTTTCTACCCACCCCATAGTCATAGAGGGGCTCAGATGGTCTGCAGCAAAATACCATTTGAATCACTGATGAATAATTTACATGCACAGCAGGTGGGAGTGAGTTAGTACATAAAGGTCCTTTGAAGAGGAAAAAAAATGTTGCTGCCTTAGAGAACGTTGACCTTGGCAACAGTCCGTGAGGAAGCCTTTCCAGAGGAAAGGTAATGCTTTGCAAGTGTCCAGGGAGTCTCATGGCACACATCGAAGGCCTTGCAGGCTAGAGCTGGTTTTTAAACACACATCTGTCCAGTCACTACCCAAAAGGTGAAGGGCTCCAACTCTATCTGAGGTAACAGCTGTAGGCAGAGCCTACGAGGAAAGAATTCTAGCGAATTCTAGCGTCACGGGGTTTTCTCATCCTAACAACTGCCTCTCCTTACTGTGTCCACTCTTATCTCCAGGCCTTCTAATAAAGTTATTTGAAATTGAAGACAAGCTTAAAACTCCAGCCACCCTAAAGAAGCACACCAATTTCCTTTCAGGGTAACAATTCTATCTGGAACAAAAGTGCTTGTAGGTGTATATGTATCTGGATTAAGCAAGGCTGTCAGCATTTAGTATAAATGGAAATGTCTTCTCTTTTCAGGATGTAGGCATAAGAATTGGCTTTTGAAAACAGTCAAATTCATATTTCTAATAGGAAAAAAAAAAAGCAGAGAAAGAACTAAAGATGCACTTAGCTTTTTATTCAAGACCAAGCATGTTGTTCCCCCAGTCTGGTTAATTTTGGATGCTGACATCATGCATGCATTTTAAATTATTAGGCAGATAATCACTTCCTTAAAATAATTTCCATGCTCAGCTACAATAAAATAGATTTCTTTCAAAGACCCCTTGGTAAAATGTGCTCAGTGTTACTTTCTGTATCACGCAGGTCAATTTAATTCAGCATGGCTCTCTCTACCCAGCTAAACAATCGCTTTTCAGTCTCTGGAGAGCATGGTGAATGCAGCCAAGAATACCCATCCAGAGACGGCCTTGGACACTTGTTCATAAAAACTTGACATCTCAAGTCCCACTCTTTATTAATCTCTTGTCAAAGAGTTAGTCAAGATTTCTGGGGGAAAAATGTCAATGTCATATAAATCATTATTAATTATTCAATAATGAATGAGATTAAAATGGAAGAATGAACCATTTCAAAAATGGGCAGGCAAGCATCCCATTCACCAGTGGCCCCTCCCACAAGGGCTTCACCTCACCATCTGCAGTCTGCATTTCTCTGTAGCTGCAGACTGAAACAACTACCAATGCACTTGATATTTTACAGAGCAGGAGCAAAGACGGTCTGTGTTTGGATATCAGTCAGGTGCTTTCATTTAAGTCTGCTCCTGAAGGTCCCTTAGCTAGAAGCTTGGTCCTCATATAAGTGTATTAAGAGGTTGTAGGGGTAGTGGTGAGTCACGAGGGGAAATTTCTGCCTCTCAAAGGTGTTAATATAGTTCTCTCAGGACCCTGGTTAATTCTTGAAGCTAGTTTCTTATAAAGTGAGACCACTCAAACGTGTTCACCTTTTGTACCAAGTTACCTTTGTTTTGGTGTAGTGGGGGTGGGGGCAGCGACAGAAAGGACACAGTTACTAGGGGTTAAGCATCTAGGACTACCTGGTTTTCGATTCTCGTTTTCCAACATCGTAAGCTACGCAAACCTCTTTTCTTTGTTAAACACCTAGACTCAGTTTCTTAGAGTGACATCTTGCAGGTGTCTAAGTCGTGACTCTCCAGAAGCAGAGACAAGGTTTCCAGCACAAATAGTTTATCTGCAGGTGATTGGAGAAAATTCAGGTGGAGAAGGACAGGAGTGAGGTAGGCAAGAGAAATAATCAAATTTGCACTAATGAAAGGTTACAGTATGGCCAGCTGGGTCCTAGTGCAGCTGAGGACTTGTGGGCAATGGTTGGAACATATGTGAGAGTTGTGTGAGCATTCAGTAGCTGGACTGTGCAGTCACCGACTCTCATTCGTCAAAGGTTGAGGGGGCAAGTCTACCTTTCTACCACAGAAAACTCCTTCGGAGGTTTCCAGGCTATGCTGGAATTGAGAGCTCCCGAAATGGGAAGGAAGGCAATGGTTTCTCCAACAAGGCAAACTAAACTAAAACGTTCAATGCCAAGACGTTGTTTAAAGTCTAACCTGCATCTGTTGCCTATGCGTTGGGAGTGACCCCCAGAAGGTACTCTCCTTAGGCCTGTGCAATGTGAGATTAAACAGCCTCTCGGAGACGCTCTATTACTTCTACAGAGGTCTATTGTAGCCTCATACTCCCCCTTTTTAAAATGACAATGAATTATTCTAAATTAAAGCCAGGAATGAGATAGTGTGAAGAACACAATTTTAAACCAGAAGTAGTGTCTGTATCTCTAATATCAACACTTATGGAGAGAGGCAAGAGGATCAGGAGTTCAAGACTCACCTGGATTATGGTAAATTCCAGGCTAGACTGGGCTCTCAACAAGATTCTGTTGCAACCCACATCAAAAAGAAGAGCAAAACACAAAAATTTGAAATTCTTTTTTTATTAGCCTCTCACATCCTTAATGTATTGTCCTAAGGACTTCCAACGGCGTTATAATGTAGGTGAAGACCCCACCATTCATGCTGCCTGTGGTCCTGGGCCTCCGGATCATTTCTTCCTCTATAATACAGTGAGTTGGATGAGAGTGGACACCCAGATCATGGGTGATTGATTAATCAGAAAAATCTGGCTAAAATAATTCTATGGCTTGACTTGAAAACATAGCTGAGGTGATCATATCTCTTTCAAGGATCTGAGCTGTGGAGCAGAAGCCAAGTGTCTGTGAACAGCAGGCATAGAGGGCAGGAGCTTAGAAGGCAGAGCTTCATTAGTAGTTGCAAGAGCACAAAGGACTCAAGAACAACAAGGTCGGGGTAGATGAATGATTGGCTCACTACTCAATTGATCAGGGTATCTAACTGACCCAAATGCTGAGATCCCGGGATGTAAGAGTGCCTCGCCCATAGTAGTGCCTCAGTGGACATTTGTGGAGTTGATGAATGCATGTCTGGAAGTTCAAGTAATGGAGGAACCGTGCATGTCACAGCAAGGAGACAGAAGGAAAGAGAAGTCAGAAGCAGAATTCAGGCATGGAAGCCTTGTAATGAACATGCCAATGATATGTCCATATGATCATAGATTATAGCTTCATTAATAGATGTGGTGTTTTCTGAATCATCAGATAAGAAAGCAGATGCATGGAGAGATTAAATACTTTCCCAGGAAGACATGGTTAACACCAGGAAGAGGCTGGATCTAAACCAGGCCATCTGTCTCTGAAAAATGACCCTTCATCATTTCACCTCTGCTAAGAACTGCAGGCCCTCTTATGTGGTGATATGTTGTGTATCAAATAAAGCTTGCCTGAAGGTCAGAGGACAGAGCCAGCCACTAGATTAAACATAGAGGACAGGTAGTGGTGGCACACACCTTTAATCCTAGCACTCAGGAGGCAGAGATCCGTCTGGATCTCTGTGAGTTCAAAGCCACCCTAGACTACATGAGATTGACTCAGTCTAGGAGAGAAAAAAGAACCAGGCAGTGGTGGCACACACCTTGAATCCCAATACTTGGGAGTCACAAACCTTTAATTCCAGCACTTGAGATCTCCCAACTTTAATTCCAGTATTTGGGAAGCACACACACCATTAATCCCAGCACTAGGAAGGAAGTAATGGCTGGGCAGAGAAAGGTATATAAGGTGTGAGGAGACAGGAACTAGAGCCTTTTGGCTGAGCCCTTTTGGCTAAGGACTGATGGAATTCAGCCTGAGCATTCGTGGGTCAGCTGAGGAGTTGGCAACGAGGTGAGAAGTGGCAGTGACTTGTTCCTTTGTCTCTCTGATCTTTCAGCATTTACCCCAATATCTGGCTCTGGGTTTTTATTATAAGACCATTTAGGATTTGTGCAACACCCTTATACTTGTGGCAAGTTCCAAAGTCAAGGTTGGCCCATCTGGCCCTAGATGATGACTTGATTACATGCTTCCCTGCCTACCCCTACAGTATTGAGGTGCACCTATCTCCTCAACTAGAGATTGCCTCAGTGGGTCTCCTTTTTGTTGCAATCAAGAAGCAGCATTACCACAGTACAGGAGAGCAACTCCCATCCAGATATATGGCTTTGGACTCTTGTACCATTTCCAAAAAGTATGGTCCTGAAGTCAGAGGGCATTTGTCAGATGTGTTCTGAAATACCACAGGAACTGAGACACTACTCTGCCTTCTACGTGTAGATTATCTTTTGCTTCATGTCAAGACATTCTAAGCCCTAGTAGCTCAAAATAATTGCACATTTCTTATGGTTATGATTCTGCAGTTTTGGTAGGGCTTGTAGATGTTATTGTATGTACTGTATACCTCCAATAAATTGTCAAGTTGATGGAAACACTGATGACCACACAAGCCCAGATTCTCTTTTCTTACAATGGCTGCTCTTTCTGAAGAAATGAGTCTTACTTACTCTTCCACGCCCATGCCTGATAATCACCAGGACATCCATTACTCCTAAGAAGCACAAAAAGGAACAGGTGCTTAGGCCAGGCACTGGAGAACACAGAGTGTTTATTCTAACATAGAGGAGAATGTCACAGGACAGGGGAAATTATCCCTAGGGAAGCACATGATGTCTGCATTAAGCAGTGTCGTCACCAAAGGGATAGCTAGGGCAAATGAACTTGACAAGTTAGAGTGTTGTAAGCATTCAGCTGACTTCAGACCCATGATTTTTAATTATAAAGTTCTCTTTACCAGGGTCAGGTTGGACCCAAGTGCCTGGGCAGTAGAGAGCCAGGGTAAGACACACAGGAATTCACTACCAAGAGTATTTCATTTATCAAATAAGAGCATAATGGCCTTTTTGTATCTCTATCTTCTACATATCTGCAGATTCAACCAAGTGATGGTCAGGTACTATTTATTTAGGTCTATGAAGAGTGTGGCTGTCTTGAACATGCTCAGACCTTTTTATTTCCATTATTGCCTAAATTATGCGTTATAATGCCTACTTATATAGCGCTTGTGTAGCTAGAGTTTTCCTGCCTGGCCCACAGTCAGGACAAATCTCTCTCACCTGCCAGTCCCACAGCTGCTCAGACCCAACCAAGTAAACACAGAGACTTATATTGCTTACAAACTGTATGGCCGTGGCAGGTTTCTTGCTAACTGTTCTTATATCTTAAATTAATCCATTTCCATAAATCTATACCTTGTCACATGGTTCGTGGCTTACTGGCATCTTCACATGCTGCTGGTCATGGCGGCAGCTGGCAGCGTCTCTGACTCAGCCTTCCTGTTCTCTCAATTCTCCTCTCTGCTAGTCCCACCTACACTTCCTGCCTAGCCACTGGCCAATCAGTGTTTTATTTATTGACCAATCAGAGCAACACATTTGCCATACAGACCATCCCACAGCAGCTTGTATTGTTTTGGGTATCATAAGTAGTCTAGGAGTGATTTAAGTTATATAGGGGATGTGTATATAAGCTGTTATGTAAATACTATGCCCTTTTATTCAACACACTTGAGTATTCTTGGATTTTTTTTTAATCTGTGGAGATCTTGGAACTAGCCCCCCATGCACACTGAAGGACAAGTTCAATAAAAAAGGAGAAGAAATGCACCTGATATATTTTTTAAAAAATACTGGTATCATAGATTGATATTATTATCAGGTACTTTGCTTATTATTGTGACAAATACGCCATTAAAAACAGCTTAAGAAATGAAAGGTTTACTTTGGCTCACAGTTTGAGGGGTGCAGTCCATCATGTCATACAAGGCCCAACAGGGAGCTTAAGTTGGTCATGCTGCCTCCACAATCAGGAAGCAAAGAAAGATAAACGCTGGTGCTCAGCTCGATTTCCCCATTTCCTCTTTTTGACCAGGTGCCCAGTGCTTGATCTCTCTCATATTCAAGGTGGACCTTCCCCACTAAGTTAAATCTCTTTGAAAACTCCCTCAAAGACATGTGTCTCCAGGTTTCCCTAAATGCTCCAGCTGGCAACAATGATTGACAAGCACTTAGGGTCGTGTCTAATGATTCAGCATCGTTGCTTTTCAGACTCGCTATAACAAATGCTAAGAACAACACAGAGATGTTAGCTGGCAGAAGTGACATCTTATTTAATGCAGCCAACTCTGGAATTCCTGAATAAATGGAAAATAAAGGCAGAATGAAAAACAAAAATTCGCAGATAGCCCCAAATTCTGTAAGCCATTGGAAAAGTTTTGGAGATGGACAATTGTGGTTATACAGAGTATAGGTATATTCAATGTCACTGAACTGTACTCAATGCTCAAAATGACAAGGTATGTTATGTATATTTTATCACAAAAAATAATGAAAAAACACACCGTGTTACTAGTTTCAACTTCATTCTGGTCCGCATTAAGACTATATTTTTTTAGACCTCCTGTCCATCTGATCTCAGCATTGCTCCTCTGTGGAAGGTGCTAATGAGCTGGGGGAGGAAAAAGGGGGAGCAGCTGGAGGGTGGGGGACAGGGTAAGAGATGCCAGCATCATGTTTGCTTAATGAATGTGCTGGCACCAGGGGTCTACTGGAGGTGAGCACTTTCTCCTTTGAGTCTTTTGATCAGCTGGAATCATAATCAAGCTAAGATGCACTGTGCTTTCCTATTATACAAACCCAAGGTTACTTCTAGAATACACTCCAAAGTAATATGTGGCAAACTCTAATGAATGAATCCTGGTTTTGAAAAGCAATGCACACTTTGCCTACTTCTAAAAAGGGATTTGAGGCAGTGGGAAGTCTCTGATTGAAGAGACAGGAAAGAGATATCTGTCCTGGGGCCTCAACCTGCCTGGAGTCTCCTGCGGACAGTACTTGGGATGGGTATCTCTGAGCACCAGGGATAATGTCTCCAGGAGGCACACCCCATCCATAAGGGACAAGGGTCTGTAGGTTCCACTAGGAGATGCTTGGTAGGAAAAAAACACTTGTAGCGCAAGTATGAGAGAGAACAAGAGTTTGGATCCCGAAGACTCACATAAAGGCTTCATGAGCCTGGTGACCAGTGTGTGATGCCAGGGTGTGGGAGGCAGACACAGGAAATCTTTCCAACAAGCTGCCAAGCCAGACTGGCTGAAGCAACCAGCTCTGGGTTGGTCCAAAGACCTTGCCACAACATATAAGGCAGAGAGAAATCAAGGAAGATATTTGATGTCAACCTTGGGCCTTGGGTATGTGTGCACGTGCACATATACGCTCATGCACACGCACACATACACACAGAAACATGTGCACACACGTACACTCATCTACATGTGAACACCCATACACACAAGTATACACACACACACACACACACACACACACACACACACACACACACACACACACATTTTAGGAAGGAAGGGAGGAATAGAGTGCTTCCAACAAGGTATGGTGGCACACACCTTTATTCCTACAATTGGGAGGCAGAGGCATGTAGATCTTTGTGAATTCAACATCAGCCTGGTTTATATAGCAAGTTCCAGGCCAGTCAGATCTATATAGTGAGACCTTGTCTAAAAATAATAATAAGCTTCCTTGTAGCACTAGAGATGGCTTATGGCCACTTAGAGTTCTCAGTTGCCCGCAGAGATATCCTCCTCAGACACCTACTTTGTGCCAACTTTAACTATTCCCTACCCTCTTCAACTCACCTCATAAGTATCGCTTATACTCAAATCCTCATTTCAGTCTGATTTAGGTGGAGTTGGTGGACCCGCAAATTATAACAATTACCAACTGGCATTCAGTATGCATTTAGATTCCTCATGAGTGAGGTCAAGAAAACAGTAAGCCCCACTTCTTATTGGAGTGGAATATAAATCTTTTGTGACTCAGATGTTTCCTCTTTCTGTGAATTACTTTGACATCACAGGACCAGCTGGCTCCTCCTGGCACTTACAATCTGGGAAACCCTCCCTGCTAAGCGAAAAGTTATTCAAGGGCTTGGGCCCGTCTTGGGTCCAAGAAGCATTCCTCAAGGAACAAAAGAGTTTATAAGGACTCTGAAGAAAAACAAAACAAAGCTGGCTTTCCTAGCAAGAATGAGATGGGATGAACCACACAGAGGGACAAACAGAGGCCATGTGTATTCAGAGTCATCAGCAGAACCCTAAGGTACTAGCTAGGCTGGTTTTAGTTACTTAAAAACACACTGAAAACTCCACTATGAGTTGTGGTCTGCATCCTCCTCCTTAGCGTTCAGAGACAACTTGGTGACTGTGCACTGGTTAGGAGGGGGTGACAGTGAGACTCTTCCAGCCCCCAGGCAAGGCTGGAAGAGGCCTGTCTTTCTTTGGATGCCTTCAACTGCTAGAAGAGGTCTGACTTAATTTCCCTGAGGCCACTAGTTAGACAGACAATGATAGATGGATAGGTGTGATTGGGGGAGTCCCTGCCCTGCTTACTCACACCTGTTGAGTTTTCTCAGCCCAGGTGGCAGGAATCTGAGTAAAGACACCGTCAAATGACCCAAGCCATAGCTACCAACTGACTGCAGGCACATGAGAAGTCCAACTGACCACCGCATTTGTAAGCAAAGTCAGTCCAACTGACCACCACATTTGTAAGCAAAGTCAGTCCAACTGACCACCACATTTGTAAGCAAAGTAAATCCCTCATCCTCTGTTCTCTTCCTCTCCTCCCTCATCCTTCTCCTCCTCTTGCTAGTCTCCTTTCTTTGGAGGCACTGCAGAGCAAATCCAGGACTTTGCACATGCTAGGTAAGCATCCTCTCACCGAGCTAGACCTCCAGTTTTAAATGCTCGTCATCCATCCATCCATCCATCCATCCATCCATCCATCCATCCATCTATCTATTCACCCATCCATCCATCCATCCATCCATCCATCCATCCATCCATCCATCCATTTTTAAGTCACCCTTTCCTTTTAGGATGATTGCCACAGCAACAAATTGATTTGGCGGCAAGTGACTGAACGTCCAACTTCAATGTAACATTTGTTCATAGTGTCGACATAAAGTCTGAGGATAGTTCTTGGGTCCATTTGTTCAGCTGTTCAGCAATGTCAAGGCATGCTAGGGAACATTTTGGCTTGTCCTCATGAGAGTGGGACAGCA